CGGGCCACATTTTGAATGCTGAGGCAGGCTGATGCTGAGGCTGAGGCAGGCTGAGGCTGAGGCAGGCTGAGGCTGAGGCCGAGGCTGAAGGCAGACTGAGGCTGAGGCTGAAGCAGACTGAGGCTGAGGCTGAGGCAGGCTGAGGCTGAGGCTGAGGCAGGCTGATGCTGAGGCAGGCTGAGGCTGAGGCTGAGGCTGAGGCTGATGCAGGCTGAGGCTGAGGCAGGCTGAGGCTGAGGCTGAGGCCAAGGCTCAAGGCAGACTGAGGCTTTGGCTGAAGCAGGCTGAGGCTGAGGCTGAGGCTGATGCTGAGGCAGGCTGAGGCTGAGGCTGAGGCAGGCTGATGCTGAGGCAGGCTGAGGCTGAGGCTGAGGCTGAGGCTGAGGCTGATGCAGGCTGAGGCTGAGGCAGGCTGAGGCGGAGGCCGAGGCTGAAGGCAGGCTGAGGCTGAGGCTGAAGCAGGCTGAGGCTGAGGAGGCAGGCTGAGGCTGAGGCTGAGGCAGGCTGATGCTGATGCAGGCTGAGGCTGAGGCTGAGGCTGATGCAGGCTGAGGCTGAGGCAGGCTGAGGCCGAGGCTGAAGGCAGACTGATGTTGAGGCTGAAGCAGGCTGAGGGCGAGGCTGAGGCAGGCTGAGGCTGATGCAGGCTGAGGGTGAGGCTGTCCTGATATGCTGGTGCAGGCTAGAGTGCTGAGGCCTGAGCTGATGCAGGCTGAGGCATGAGCAGGCTGAGGCCAGGGCTGAAGGCAGACCTGAGGCTGAGGCGGAATCAGGCTGAGCTGATTCCGAGGCAGGCTGAGGTGAGGCTGAGGCAGGCTGAGGCTCATGGCACTGAGTTCTGAGGCTGAGGCTGCATGCAGGGCTGATAGGCTGAGGCAAGGCTGAGGCTGAGGCCGAGGCTTTAATGGCGAGACTGAGGCTGAGGCTGAAGCAGGCTGAGGCTGAGGCTGAGGCAGGCTGAGGCTGTGGCTGAGGCAGGCTGATGCTGTGGCAGGCTGAGGCTGAGGCTGAGGCTGATGCAGGCTGAGGCTGAGGCAGGCTGAGGCTGAGGCGGAGGCTGAAGGCAGACTGAGGCTGAGGCTGAAGCAGGCTGAGGCTGAGGCTGAGGCAGGCTGAGGCTGAGGCTGAGGCAGGCTGATGCTGAGGCAGGCTGAGGCTGAGGCTGAGGCTGATGCAGGCTGAGGCTGAGGCAGCCTGAGGCTGAGGCTGAGGCTGAAGGCAGACTGAGGCTGAGGCTGAAGCAGGCTGAGGCTGAGGCTGAGGCAGGCTGAGGCTGAGGCAGGCTGAGGCTGAGGCTGAGGCAGGCTGAGGCTGAGGCTGAGGCAGGCTGAGGCTGAGGCAGGCTGAGGCTGAGGCCGAGGCTGAAGGCAGACTGAGGCTGAGGCTGAAGCAGGCTGAGGCTGAGGCTGAGGCAGGCTGAGGCTGAGGCAGAGGCAGGCTGATGCTGAGGCAGGCTGAGGCTGAGGCTGAGGCTGATGCAGGCTGAGGCTGAGGCAGGCTGAGGCTGAGGCCGAGGCTGAAGGCAGAATGATGCTGAGGCTGAAGCAGGCTGAGGCTGAGGCTGAGGCAGGCTGAGGCTGAGGCAGGCTGAGGCTGAGGCTGAGGCAGGCTGAGGCAGGCTGAGGCTGAGGCTGTGACTGCGACTGCCGTTGCCACTGCGACTGTCATCGCGAATGCGACTACGACTGCGAGAACAGCAGAATTCTACAACAGGATTCTCATCTGAATCTTAAGGGGAATGCTTCCAGATATGCACCTACACATCGGGTCAGTTGCTTTGCCGGATAATCATGTGGGGTCCTCCGTTGGAAATAATTCTACGCTTCGCGTATCCCCACCAGCCCATCTCACAGCAGCAACTCTCGCGAAGCATGCCGACAGTCGTGTTTTTCAGGCGTGTGTCCGCTTGGCCCCGCATATCTCCCCTGTTCCTCCTTCCTCCCGCCTCCTTGTACATCCGCCTTGTGAGGGGAGCGGGAGAAGGACGAGGCGGAGGAGGAGGGAGAGAAAGCGCTCCTCGTGATTTGAGTCGTTTGGGGTTTCTCGTCCTGGTGTGAGTCGTTCGGGCCCTTCTTCCTGGTGTGAGTCGTTCGGGCTCTTCGTGGTGAGAGTCGTTCGGGCTCTTCGTCCTGGTGTGAGTCGTTCGGGCTTCTCGTGGTGTGAGTTGTTCGGGCCCCTCATCCTGGTGTGAATCGTTCGGGCCCCTCCTCCTGGTGTGACTCGTTCGGGCTCCTCGTGGTGTGAATCGTTCGGGGCCCGCGTCGTGGTGTGAGTCCTTCGGGCTCCTCGTGGTGTGAGTCGTTCGGGCGCCTCGTCCTGGTGTGAGTCGTTCGGGCCCCTCCTTGTGGTGTGAGTCGTTCGGGCTCTTCGTGGTGTGAGTCGTTCGGGCCCCTCGTCCTGGTGTGAGTCGTTCGGGCTCCTCGGGGGGCCTCTTGGGGGCCTCTTGGAGCCTCTTGGGGCCTCTTGGGGGCCTCTTGGGGGCCTCTGGGGTGCCTCTTGGGGGCCTCTTGGGGCCTCTTGGGGCTATCTGGGGGCCTCTTGGGGGCCTCTTGGGGGCCTCTTGGGGGCCTCTTGGGGGCCGCTTGGGAGCCTCCGGGGG